TCACAACTGTCACAAAAAATTGGCTTGTTACTGCGTACAAAGATCTAACCCTGATCCGTATTCCAGTACTCGACTACGCTTTGTCTGATTAAATACTGGTGAAAACAAAACACGCGGCTCTGCAAATAGTCTCTTTTCGGCGAATCTATTCACTTAGCTGTACAGTCACCTTTATATATACTTATTTTTTATGTGTGTACATTAGGTTTGTCCGATAGGAATAAAAATAAGTCAGCGTTATTTTTGTCAAGACATTTCAAGAGTAGTTTAACGAGTGGGTTTTGACCAGGATGTACATAGGAACAAAGGAAATTATGGAATTATATAAGAGTAAGAATTCTAAAAATTGCAAATGTTATAAGGGGTTAGAAAGAAACACAAGTACACAAACAGCAAGTCAGTAGAAGTCAGTATGGTTGTTACCATGATAGTGGAACTGGCTGGGAGATTTTCTTTCGTATACATAACTCTGGTTCCTCCAACTGAATTGCTTAGTCTTCCGCAATACAAAGGAGACCAAGGCATATTTCCTTTGGTGGGTTTTTCTTCACTTTGCAGACCACTTTGAAGAAGGTGTTAGTTGAGATGGAATGAAGGAAGGAATGGAGGATTCAACCATTTCCTAAAACCATGGATTCGTATAAACACAACCTTGCACGTTTGTAAATGCTTACTAACGTGCTCTTTGAGGAGAGATCGTTTGAGGGCTCTTGGCTGAAACTGCATAGTCTGTCGGGGTCGACTGGTTAATGACCTCGGAAACGTCCGCTTTAGCCTAGTCATGTGAGGTAAATAGCTGTCCAGGCAAAGTCAAAGTATTGCCATGTACAAATTGGGCCAGTGCACACCGAAGGTCCTTTTTATGGTCAACCGAATGCTAAGCAAGGTAAGAAGTAGATGTTCACTTCATTTGGATGTGTCGTTATGTTCCATCAGGAAACATTCCAGTTGCATGTGGAATCTCTCCACAAGACTATTTGCTGCCAGATGGTGTACGGTTGTGGACATGTGTTGCACTCCAAAAAGTCGGGTCATCTCTCTAAATGGTGAGGACTGGAATTGAACGTCTCTATCGGATGTCACCGCAGATGGTACACCCTGAGTGGATACCGGACAATCTGGAAAAACGAAGGCTATTTTTCAGATGACATGTCGATAAGTTGGCAGGTGACAACCCACCTAGGAATCCAACAATAGGCGCGAAGAAGTGCGTGTAAACTTTGGACGGTGACAATGGACCATGTCAAAATACACATACCAGAATCATCTTTCGGGAAGATCAAATTGCTGGGGAATGGTGACCGTGTGGTGGTGGACTTATTAGTGTTGGAAGTGTAAACATTCGCGTGCCCATTCTGGTCTATTTCACATCATAAACGAGAATCAGCTACTACACTTGCACCACCTTTGACGCACTGTATGTCAGTTGAAAACTGGGAAATATAGTCCATTTGTCCAGCTCCTCTGGAAGAGGATTTACCTATCACCGTAGTGAAAGCATAACAAAGTGGCATGTAGTCGGTAAAAATAGTGAAATGCCGACCTTATCGTTAGAAACTAAAATGTTTGACCGCTAGATAGATGGCCAACAACTCTCTTCCAAATGTGCCATGACAAGTCTGAGCTTGCTCTAACTTCTTCGAAAAGAAGGCAAGGGGAGTGACATTGTGGGACTTGGACCATGAAGCGCTATAAGGACTCTGCAGCGTTTTTCACGCCAAACGGTATTCGTAGAAATTCAGACAACCCAAAAGGTGTTCTAATAGCAGTCTTTTGAGTGTATCCTTGAGCAACTGGTATCTGGTGATAAGCTCTAACTAAAACCACTTTGGAGAGAACAGTCTTACCATGGAGCGTCAGAGAGAAATGATACATGAGGTGAATAAGATAGCGATCTGGGACAGTAGCATCGTTTAAGTATCGGTGATCCCCACATGGTCTCCCTTCATGCTCGACCTTTGCTACCATATGTGGCGGTGAGGACCGAGGACTACTGGAGGGTTAGATGGTGCCCCGTTGCGTCATGGGCTCCAATTCAGCTTTGGCTGCTGCTAAGTTATCGGGTGGTAGTTGCCGAGGATGTTCTCGGACAGGTTGGCCAGCTGTGATGATTTCATGTGCGAGAGAATGAAGAACTTTGAGGAAATGTTGTAATAAGGCAGAAAATGTGCAGTCATTGGGCTTTTCGATGCAAATGTTATAGAGAGGTAATCTGAGATGATTCCATGGATTTGAAGCTGGGTGCAATTGTCAGTCAGATTTTTCTTGTTCACATCAGTCACCAGGTTGAAATCACATAAAAAATAGGCACCCAGTATAGCTCGACGAACGTCAGCTACTATGAAAATCCACGTAAAACAACGACGTTAACCACAGGTCAAAGTAAAGCGATTGTTCGCCGCTGATCTGCATGCTTGTTTGGAAATTTCCCTGCCGTGCTAGAAGGTCACCTGTATAGTGAAGGGGATATTACACTAACTTTGGCTCTATCTACCAGGAATAATGTGTCTGTACTTTTGTCCCTAACGCAGGAAAGGCAACTTGGGTGGTTGCCAGTAGCAGCCGTTGCCATCATTGTCTGAGTGGGGAGTTTCCCTGAGCCGACTAACTACTACCGATGTATGGTTTTACATACCAAATGGCTCGATTTGCAAACTCTCTATGATACCAGTGAGTGTTTCGAATATTAGAAGACGGACTGGTCCGCTGCCTTGAGAAAGATTGAAGACATTTTCTTGACCTGGATGTGCAAGTAGGCTGAACAGTTCAGTTTCTAACATTCCAGCTTGTCCGCTAGTGCCCACACAGTTGATAATACAGGTGTGTCCGCAGTAGATGCCAGCTGAATCAGTAATTGGTTACATCTCGATACATCGCAGACGCTAGTGTCTCACAATATGTTTAGAATGTTATCTGAAAGCTCACTTGGTTCATTTAGGCCGATGGATTTATAGGACATAGTCAAGATTTGTTGGATGTTTTGTGGTAGCCATTGCAATCACGTCTATCTCAAGACCAGATCATCATATTTTTATGGGTTAATCAGCTGACGCATATCCTTGAGGGGCCGAGATGATGCCCTTGAACCTGGCTAAGTGCAGTGAATAATTCCTGGATCCTTTCCTCGTCTGAGACATATCCTCTGGGTCGAGACTCCTTAGAGTCTGTCGTATTGATGGTCCGCAGGAGCGCCTTCAATTAGGCATGTGAGATCCTTTAGCACATCAGTTGGCAGTGCATCTAAGACACATCCATACTTAGTTATCTGTGGCTTGACACCTCTTGCAGCACATGGGGGCTCGATGATAGCGAACCAAATTCTAGGCTCGGTAAATCAAGCGGAGGCAGACACGGATCGACTATGGCGTTAATTCCTGAAACTTGTGTTTCCCCATTAGTTTCTGATGCAGCAAGCGAGCAAGTAGGTGGATACATTATTAATAAGAGGATATACACAGAGATATAAATGCATAAAATATGCAGTCAAAAATAGGAATGATAACACAAATATGCAGTTCATAAAAATCAAATGTCCAGGCCGGCTCACTAGTTAGTTTGTACGGGACTTGATAGAGAACTCGGTAACGGTACAACAGATTGGAAGGAAAATCCAAGTTAGCGAAAGAATATTGCGACAGTACATTACGAAAAATGAAGTTAACGAGTTATAGAAATTATTGGTTACTTGGTAAAATGGGTGAAGTTCACTGCTACAAAGTATCAACATAATCTACGAAAGTGTTTACTGATGGGGTCAAGTCTACTAGTAGGAGCTGTACACCAGTTGTAGAATAGTCTTGGAATGAGGATGAGAGGTTCCTGCAAAATCCAAAGGACAGTAAAGGTAGTGAAAAGATGGACAGTATGGACCGTTGAGAAGACGGAGAGGTAAGCAGCACCTTATATTTTAGATTGTACTCCAAAGTCATGTGTATTTTTCAATGAATCGTTTTAAACGAAGTTATGTGTAATATTTCCACCAGTAACATCTAACAAGAGGTAAGGGTTAATAATGTACTGTCAGGGTGGAAAGCAGTACTAAGTGGAGTACCTCAGGGAACGGTACTTGGCCCCCTGCTATTCTTATTATACGTAAATGAAGTGCCAAAAATTCTTACCTCATCTTCCTTACTATTTGCGGACGATATTAAGATATGGAAAACCGTAAATAGTAGCGATGATAGGTTGGTACTACATAACGATCTAGACAAATTAACCGAATGGGCTAACCTTTGGAGTCTGGAAATTAATTCCAAGAAAAGCGCGGTAATGCACCTAGGTCAGAAGTCTTACATGTCGTACTCCATGGGGGACACAGAACTGCCAGATGTTAGGGAACGAAAGGACCTAGGAATTATTGTTAGCCATGACTTAAAAACAACGGCGAACTGTAATCGAGCCGCAGCTAAGGCTTTTCGAATGCTATGGATACGTCGAAGATCTTTCAAACGATTAGACGAGGGTATGTTCCAAGTACTCTATGCAACATATGTCAGGCCTCATCTAGAGTACTGCATACAAGCGGCGAGTCCATGCTTCAAAAAGGAGGCACATACCCTGGAAAGAGTACAGAGGGTAGGAACAAAATTAGTTAATGGCATCTCACACCTTCCTTATGATAAGAGGATGGAGCATTTAAATCTCTTCCCATTATCATATCGAAGGAGGAGAGGCGACTTAATTTTGGCTTACCGTATATTCAAGGGTGATTTGGGGATTGACCTTTCAAACCTTTTCTCTCCCTCTAGAATACACTTACGGGGTCACCAGAAGAAGGTGCTCAAACCAAGGTCGAATAAAATACGTTTGGAGTTTAGATTCTCTCACAGAGTGGTCAACGACTGGAACTCCTTACCTGATTCAGTAGTAACAGCTCCATCGGTGAACGCTTTCAAAGAGAAACTGGATCTCTGCAGAGATATATATCGCGAGGATTAACATAGGCAACAAGAGCCTTCTATCCTTATAATCTGAATCTGAAAGAAACTACAATCATACTGTTCTTGACTTCACAATGAAACAGTTGGAATTACCTGATGCAGCACTCAGTTTTTATGGCCTTCTGGTGACTCATCTGGAGTAACGTTGGGATCCCAATATTCTTTAGATCGGAATGAATAATGTGACCCTATGTTCGTGTGCTTTAAAACTCCGAAACCCAAGTCTTCAAAGGCGCTTAGAATAAGAAGTGCGTTACATATGGGGCGCAAGAAGGCTTCCCGACAAGATCAGTCAAGAAGTTCTAACTCACAGCTTTCCTCTCGTGAGAATGTAAAGGAAGCACATGCAAACGAAAGTTCAACAGTTTCTAGTGAAGTCAATTTGCCTGATTCCGATGTTACAGACGGTCCCGAAACAATTGACGTTCTTGGAAACGGTCTTATTATCAAAAAAGTAACTCTAAATTAACCAGTAACTAGTTTGTAGACATTGCAAAAGGGTCTTGGGCGAGAAACCCGCCCAAACCATGGTGATTCTGTGTTGGTGAACTATAAATGCTGGTTGGAAGATGGGACACTTATTGAGGAAGCTGAAAATGCTGAAATAGTTCTTGGCGACGGTGATGTCATACATGGTGAGAGAAAATTTATAAATCGAAATCTTTGTTCAGCTTTTGACCTTGCCATTCCGCTTGCCGAGCACAAAGAAGTGTTTGAGTTGGTGACAGATTCTCGATTTGCATATGGATCCCGCGGACGGTAAGTTCATTGATTTTGGCGTAGTGTCTCAAGAGTCAAATTACGTTGTATTCGGATGTATTTGTGCTCTAATTTATATTCGTTTGCTAATGGATGCCTTAAACTTGTACCTGCAAAATGTTTTGATTTCTAACTCTTAGTAATCACCTTAAAATGAGAAAACAAACTAATTCACTTGATGGAATCGATCTTTAAGTACGTTTTTTCAATCTAACACACTGTAATACTTTGAAGTGAATGTACACGAGTTCAGTGTTTCCCATATACTGTTACATGTGGTCTTAGAGTTCTTACGTAGATGCAAAAGATAACATACATTAACTTTACAGAAGAGGTGAGTGGTCGTTTTTGGATCACAATAAACTCATGTGACAGTTTACTGTAATTTAAGATATCAGTAACTATGAGGACTTGTGTAAATCAATGTATCTTGGGTTTCCAACAAAATGAGTAGCTTTAAGGGACGTTTAACGAGTAAGACACAACTTTAATGTTTAAGTACTAAGCGTATGAAGTAGAACCAGTGCAAAGTAAATGCTCATAAAGTGATCTGAATTCACAGCAACTGCTGTTGGTATCATGAAAAAGAAATTCCATAGCTTATGGAGAATTTGTAACAGATGCTGTATATCCTAGATCTTTTTGCTTTGAATACATTCATCTATGTGAAATCAAAGTGTGGGCTGTGCACAAAATTTTCAAGTTGTCTAATTTGATTGCTGAAATGTGTTCACCGCTTACAGGACTTTTTGAAATATTTTAGAGACCCAGATATTCCGTCAGAAGCCAAATTAACTTATCGTATCGAAGTTTTAAAGGTGGACGATCCTCCTTGTTACAGTACTATGTCCACTTCGGAAAGACTTGAGGCCGCTAATCGAAAGAAGGATCGAGGAAATTATTATTACAGGTAAAGTCAAGCCAAATACAATTTTCATTTAACTAGGAGAGAAGAGTTCGCTTTCGCGATTGATAGTTATAACAAAGCGCTGAAAATTTTAACCCTGCCTCCTATTCCCTCACAGTCTTCAAGTACCAAAGCTACAGAGACTGACTGTCCATCAGAGCTCATCAATGACGCAAAAATCAAGTTAGAGAATAATCTGGCAGCTGCTCAGTTAAAGGTAAAATAATTCAGCGTCTTAAACAGAATACTGATTATTTTATACTTAATTACGTGTATTTTAACTAAATTTTGTTTGGCTTAGGCAGCGAGTATGACATCTTATACAGTACATCATTGCTGGTGTCTAAGTACTGTCTATTCATACCTAAAGTATTTTTTTACTTTGTGTGCAACAGCATATATAAAAATATCTGGCTTCAATAAACATTCACTTTATTCATCTGTTCGTGCTTAGAACAGTTGAAGTGCCAAAACATGCGATATGTGTAAATTGTTTATGACCATAAGAAGGAAGATGCAGTGATAAACGTAGAGATTCTCAAGTATTGTTGTGCCTACAGACAGAGAGAGAAAAGTATCAACAGAGGAGAGCATTATTGTGTAGTGAAGTTATTATAGTTTATTTGCACATCAAGTAAAATGTAAAAGGAAGAAAAAAGACGTGGAAATTATATCCGCAATAGTTGTGGACTGTTTTAAAGAAGAAGCCAAAACAGAAGAATAAAATATAGTGAAAAGGGACATGAAGTAGCGGTGCATTTCATACCACTGCTATCTGTTTCCAGCCATATCAAATAGGGTCTCAAACTATAGGTTCGGGTGATCAAGTGGATCTCAAGAAAGTGACCTCCATTTCCCCACGAGACTCAGGCGAGTAATTAAAGACTGATCTGATCAACCTTCGCTCCCTAGCAGTAACATACATCATGCATACTCCAAGCTCACGAGTATGAAAACTTCTTAAGAAGCTGTTTATTTTGTCCACTAGCTTAAGTATTGAATGACTGTAAACCTATTGTTTTAAATTTTTGGAACCTTTAAATAGCAGAAATTTTCTCATGGACAAGCTATTGACTTCAGGGTCAGTGTTTGGAAAGACCTCGTAGTGACAACTGAAGACTATTTATAGTGAAGCAGATGTTCGCACTGTTTGTTATCTTGAAAGTTTTGAACATCTTCATTGTTGTTTGTGTGGCTATTTGATACATCCTTGGGCTGGCAGATTGATACTGATGTAGTAGGCGATGATTAAAGGTGAAAAGAATTAGGGATCAGTGGTTATATTTGTTACAGGCTTTGTATTTATATTTCATTCTTTTCCATCCATCGATTTTAATGAATGTGAAGTATTTTCATGCCTTGGTGTAGTGAATGTAATTGTTGATGTGATATGAAGAATCCTGTGTCTTTACTGAGGAACATGAGCACTTCTACAAAGTAGTATGCTTATATTAAGGGGGAGTAAATTACACGATTTTCCTTTGGTTTTACGTTCTAGATCTTTTGAGGACGTTTTTATCATCAAGATGTTGGAAATGTCAACTCTGTACGGATGCTACATGAACACAAAAGCAGCTGTACTATAATAACCATATTACTTACTTTATCATTTTCTTGTTAGTAGGAAAGCAGAATTAATAAAGTTTCATCTTTTATCTTTAGGTCCAAGCGTATGATGCAGCTATAATGTCATGCGATGCTGTTTTACAAAGTGATCCACAGAATATTAAAGCTCTATTTAGGAAAGGAAAGGTTAGCATTCTTTTTTTATTATCTGTCCATTATTAATTCCTGTTACAATTGTATGCTTAAATGATCATTCCATACATATGTATCTAAAGTTAGCGGTTGTTTAAGTATTTTTCCACTCACTATTTATCGTTTGACGTTGTGTAAACTAGGGCCTATTCGATGTAATTCTGTATGGGATTTTGATGTGTTGTTCCACCTAGAAGAGTTGGGTTTCTTAATTGTCTTCCATACACCACTGTTCGTAATTTACTTTTTCCAGTAAAAGCAGATTATTATTCTTTCCTTTAATTCTTAGAGGAACATAGGGCTTCAGCCGCACGTCTCCGTTGCGTTCGATTCTCTATCAACGTTTTCACCTGGCTCCACGTCTGCCCACATGCTTTCATCTCCTCTTCACATGACCTCCTCCATGTCACCCTCACACTGATGACCAACTCGCCGTTTCCCGTTCGGGTCCCACTCGAGCAATGGCCTGGTGTGTGATGTCACTTGATGGTTTGTTTTCTCAGAGTATGGCTAATCCACCTCCATTTCTTCCTGCATATTTGTTGCACAATCGGTTCTTGCTGGGTTGGTTCGCTCATTGCCAGAGATCCCTGTTGCTGATCTTTTCTGGCTAGCTATCTGATCTTGAGTATTGAGCGAAGACAGCTGTTGATGAAGGTCTGTAGTTTGTTAGAAGTGCCCTTCGTGGCCCGCCAAGTCTCTGATCTGTATAGTAGCACTGACTTCACATTGGAGTGGAAAATCCGGATCTCACTTTTCAGGCTGAGGAGTGCTGTTGACCTCCACACAGACTTGGGAGAAATGAAAGCTTGCCTTGCTTTCCCGATCCTCACTTTGATATCCTCATCAGTTCCGTCCGCCTGTAGTTGAAAAGATGCTTCCCAGGTCGGTGGGTAGGTAAAAGAGGTTGTTTTTTCAGATTTCTCCCATTTTTGCTGATTGTTGTCTGTTGTTGTTGCAGTTGGCCAGGAATCTTCATCACCTCTGTTTTCTCTATGTTCACCTAAAGTCCTATCTTCCCTGGATGCTTCTTCTGCCAACTTGTTGCTTTTCACTTGCATATCTTCCAGTTTGTGGGATTTCAGACATCTGTCATCGGCGAAGTCCAGATCCTCCAAGTTTTTTTGTGTGAGTCCATTTTATGCCTGTTTCCTCATTGCCCGCTGTTTGTCGCATTATCCAGTCTACTGCAATCAGGAAAATCATTGGCGATAGTAGGCAGCCTTGTCTTACTCCTATTTTCACTTCGAAGGATTCCGTGAGTTTCCCGTTGTGGATTACTTGTCATGCAGCATTGTCGTACAGCTGTTGGATGAGATGTATAATTGTCGGTGGCACCCCATAGTAGCGAAGTAGTTTCCAATTCACCCCTCGATCGACGCTGTCGAAGGCCTTTTCAAAGTCAATGAAGTTGAGGTGGAGGTAGAGAGCTGACTGCCATTCCAAGCTCTGTTCAATGATGATCCGTAGTGTTGCGATTTGATCGATGCATGACTTGTTCCTCCTGAATCCAGCCTGTTCCTGCTGAAGTTTTTCATCCAAGGAGTGTTTGATTCTCTCCAGGATGATGCGGCTTAGTATTTTGCTTGGGATGGTCAGGAGCATGATGCCGCGCCAGTTCTTGCATTGACTTAAGTTTTCTTTCTTTGGCAGTTTGAATAGGTAGCCTTTCTTCCAATCTGCAGGTACCTTGCCCTCTTTCCACACCTTCTCCAGTAGTGGTGTCATCAAGTCAGCTGACGTCTCTGGGTCCATTTTCAATGCTTCTGCTGAGATTCAGTCTGGTCCTCCTGCTTTTCCAGTTTTTAGCATCTTGACTGCCTTCAGGATTTCTGTTTTCGTCGGAGGGTTGATGTCCACTGGTAGTTCTGCTTCCGCTGTTGGTATTAATGGGCGCGTTGTAGGTGGCGGTCGATTTAGAAGTCTTTTGAAGTGTTCAGCCCAGTGTTTCCTTTGCTTCACCTGTTTGGTGATTGACTTTCCATTGTCATCCTTCATTGGCTTAATTTGTGTTGAACTTCTCCCCGACTGGAGCCTAGTTGTTTGGTAAAGTGTTGCGAGGTCTCCTTTGCCTGCAGCTTTTTCTGCTTCACTTGCCATGGCTTCATAATATTTTCTTTTGTCTTCCCTGGCACTCTTCTTTACTCTTTTGTTCAGTGTATTGTAGCTTGCATTCAACTCCTGTTTTCACTGCTCGTTGATGCAGTGGATAATCTTTTGTTTCACCATCCTCCTCTGCAGTGAGCCACTGTTTGTCCTGTCTCTTCTTTCTGCCTAGAACTTCCATGCAGGTTTGACTCCACACCCCTTTCAGGCTGTTCCAGTGTTTTTCCACGCTGGTCTCTTCGCTAGTGTTGATTTGTGTTTCCGCCTTTTCTTTATTATTTCAGTGAAGATATCCTTTGTATCCTGATCCTTCAGTTTTTGAGTATTGAACTTGGCTTGTAGTCTATATGCAGCTCCTGTTTCTTTGAAAGCTTTTAATCTGATTTGGATTGTTCCTTGTACAATATAGTGGTCTGAGTCGACGTTTGCTCCTCTTCTTACTTTTGTGTCCAGTAAGCTGCGTCTCCACTTCATTGAGATTGAGATGAAGTCAATTTGGATTTTGGTTCGCCCGTCTGGTGATACCATGTAGCCTTGTGGATATCCTTGTGCTTTTATACACTGCCACCAATCACTAGTTCATTGAAGACGAAGACTTCTCCGTTTTCATTCATCTCTGCAAGAGCTCTATCCATGATGAGTTCTCTTCCTGTGTTGTCTGGTCCCAGTTTGGCGTTCATGTCTCCCATTAGTATTTTAATGTCACCGACTGGAGTATTTTCCATTGTTGCCTGTAGTTGTCTGTAGAACTCTTCTTTCTTTTCGAGGACTGCATTGTTTGTGAGTGCATAGTATTGTATAATTGTCACTTTCCTTCCTTTTCTGGCGGTCATTATTCCGGGCGAGATCGCCTCCCATTGTATCAGCGCCTTCGTTGCCGTTGGTGACGTCATGATAGCCACAACCTCGGTGTGCTCGTGGTTGTCTTCTGTGTAACCGGGGTAGGTTATTGACTCTCCCATTGACAGTTATGAGTCCACTCCCATTCCATCTGCTTTTGCATATTCCCAGTACTTGAAAAGCATATCTCTTTTCATCTTATTTGCAATCTGGGCAGCTTTGCCAGTTTCATACATGGTGCCGACATTCTATGTCCCCACACAGACTTTTTCTTTTGTCGCAAGGAGACTCATCGTACCGAAGTTTCTGTTGCAGCTTTATTTACAGGGTGGGGTTGCTAGCCTCACGCCTAAGAAGGGGGTTGTTACGCGTAAATATATAGTTTACAGAGGAGCGACTCTTTGGGTTGCTACCCTTAGAATCAGGAAAACAAGGAATTAAGCAATCGGAACAACACTAACAGAAGGAAAAAATTCAAAACAGGAAGGACAGCGACAACAACAACAACAAAAAACTCGTGGCAGTAGTATCACTACCAAATACAGTTAACAAAAATGATATAAAAACCATAGACTCACTGATTATAGATATTATAGATATTAGTTAAACAGTCACGCAGTATCAAACAGGTAGTTATTCGTATTATAAGTCGACAAGGTTATATCCACAGAGTGTTCGAAGGTAAAATAATTTCTATAAATTCCACAACTTCCTGGCAAAAAACACTAGAAAAGTGAGAGTTTTATGTAACTAAGTAAATGTAAAGCATTAATCCGTAAAGGCAGATAATTGTCACTTATTCTTCTTTTGTTTATTTTTTATACGCACAACTAGTAATGAATTTGTCTGAAATTTATGCGAATATTATTACTATTTGCATTCTCTTTGTGATTTCTCTCATAATGCCTGTAATTTGATTTTTTTGTTACACCGGTAATTTGTGACAGTATAGCCTGGTTGCTGGGTTGATGTAGCATCCATGTCCTGTGGATTGGCTATGATAATACCAAATATCCTAAAACGCATGACTTCAACAATTCGTAAATATGTTCCGAAGTTACACTGATCATATTATGTTAACATTTACCATGGTTTCTACGGTTATAGTTATGTTGTAGAGGGTTCCCATGGAAGTGTCAACTTAGTTTTTTCACATGAAATTACACTGCTGCCAGTTTAATTGGTCTGTGACCCAGTGTCTTAGGCACTCACCATTCACTTTGTTGGTCACACACAAGGTACACTGAGATCCCAGAGTGACATATAGCTCATATTCTAGTCTAAAAACCTGTATGGAACTACTGCGTCATACTATCATTACTGTTTCCTAATACTAGGTGATTATGAAATACACCACCTGTGTAACTTCAAATGTATTTATAGCTTTCAGTTTTATTATTGTTGAATCATTTTATTATGAGAATTTTGCAACCACTATTATCCTTATTTTTAAATAGGCACTTTTAGAAATGAATGAAGTGGACGATGCAATTCCTATCCTTCAGAAAGTGTTAACTCTAGCCCCAGGTTCCCAGATGGCTAGTGTGGAGTTGGCACGTGCTCGAGCTATACGTCAGAAAGAACGCGAACATTTATCAAGATCAGTTAGTCGCCGATTTCCAAAACTTAAACAAAATAAGACGCCCAAATTGTCTGCTATGTCCAAAGTTAAACAGGTAGTGGTAAGTAAAAATAGAAATCATGGTTTTATTGGGATATGAGTAAATTATTTTTAGTGTTTAGGTATGCTCAAGATAGTATACAGTTAGTCTGCTTGACTTACATGCTTTTGCGAGTAATTCATACACTTAAATGGTCAGTTTTACGTTCATCATGGGCTGCTTTTAGATACCTCGGATTTGTGGATGACGTTGCACTATCAGCCAAGACATGTTATTACTTTTCTTCAAATATAAAATGTACGGTGTATCATTCGAATGCAGATTCAATAATTAGAGTGTCATTTGATTAGCTAAATGAGAACCATTGTTTTCGCCTAAAAGTTAATATCTTCAAGTTGGAAATTGTGATAGATAATGTCATACAAGTAGGATGAATCGTAGGGAACTAATTTACTCCTTTATTCAGAGAAAGATTTACTTTCAAACGAAGGATATCGAATTTAAGATCACAATAAGTGTATGCTTTAGGGGAAATAGGTAATTTCTTCAGCCCGAATTAATAATAACTTATTTTAAAAGAGATTCGTCACTGATTGAGGTAAATTATTTAGCGGTTAATGCTAAAGCATTAACCGCTAAATAATTTATTGAGTTAAATCTTCATACTATCACTGACTTTATTGATCCAAGAAGAACTCATGAGTTTATAGAGTTATTTAGTGTCAAACAGATGTTGCGGTTGTCATCTACAAAGGTGTAAAACTTCTTCTCTTCAGAAGAAGCATTCATTTAGTGCAGTGAAGCTGTGCACTACTGCGTAACATAATATGCCATATTCTGTATTGTAATGCAGAGTTATAAGTTCTTCATTATTTTATTTTGTGTACTCTGCTTACTTTCGCATATTGCCAGTTCTGAGATAAGATTGTTTATGTATATTTTTTATTTATTTATACACAGAGCTCTCGGTCTGTGATTGTAACAAGTATTGTGGCAGTCCTTTCCGTCTTTGTCGGTCTAGTTGTATACATATATCAACCTGTCCTTATGGGTATGAGCGCATAATAACCACAACAGAAAACAATTTCTTCACTTGTAGTTTTATTGCATTATTAAATGATGAAGTGTACATTATGAATTGAAGGTGTGTATAATATTATATATATACATATATATATATCTTTATTATTTACTACTAATCTTATCAACATAACTGATTTCAAGCACAAAATTGTTTACTTTGAAATCTTACGTTTTATATTCTTATATCGTTGTCATTTCTTTTCTTTAGGCGAACGTTTATTTGTTTGAGTTGATGATGATTATGATGTTTACTACTCCTGTTTATCGATCTCTTTTTTCCCTACCTATCTTTTTTTGTTAAAACTTATGACCTTATGACTTATTAGGGAATGTGAACATTTCACCTCACCTTGTGTGTGTGTGTGTATGTAGCATTATTATGTTCAAGCAAACACAAACACATCTGTGACACGTATTGAGACAGAATTTTTTTATATTACTCACAATATGTAATGTAATATGGTTCTTTCTCCACTTTGTTGTTTTTTTCCTTTTTATTGTTTTAATAGTTAATTACTGTATTATTCACCAAATATTTGAATTGCATGATTTCAATTTTTTTTTCCTGTTTGATTTTGTTTGTTTGAAATAATAAATGGTTTTTATCTTCAGCAAATGGATTATTTGCTCTCTCTCCCTCTATAATAAATAAGTAAGTTAATATTTTGAATACAATGCTGAAGGATGTTTTCCCTTTGAGACACTTGAATTCCCAGATCTAGGTAGTTAGAGACGGTTGTGTAAAAAAGGCATAGCGACTCTTGTTATATAAAACCTGGTGGTAGTATTGCGTAACTGCTTGAGTTGTTACACTGAGTACTTACAAATCAGGTAGACGGTAATGAGAAGTGGTTAGGACTCTCGCCGACCATGCACATGGTCCAGGGTTCAATCCCTTGCCGACGCACACCCAATATCTATGATCGGCCTGCGAAATTTGGGCTACCGATATCCATGGTGAAAATTCCATACTTGTACTGAAAATACGGTGTGGCATCAAGCTGTAATAAAAAATAAAAAATAAGATGGAAGAGCAAGTGGAAATAGTATTGTGGTGAGAGCTGGCTACAAGCCAAAATTGGTAGACAGTAATTTACGTCAATGTTTATGTGTCCAATATTGGTCATGAGAAAAATAAGAACAGAGACTGACTCAACAACCAATCACAGGAGACTTTGCGTAGGCGGATACAATTCGCAGATAGATATTCTGAACTACAAGAAATGGCCACAAACAGATGAATGATTAACGTTCAGCGAGAAACCACCAATCAGGATAATGTGTTTGTTTGCTTACAATTATCTATAATAATGTGCATGACAATCTATAAATATATGTTGATTTCTTAAATAAACGATCTGTTGCCTGGCCCTTGTCTTCTGTTGTTACAGTATAACTGAAATTCGTAAATTTCTAGAAGATAAATGATGTGAAAGGTGTATAGGAAGTGAGGAGTTGGGATATTTTGATTGATATGAAGGTGCAAAGTATGCATACAGCCAGTTATCAGTCTTATTATTAAGAGTCTACAGTCATGAGTTTTAGCTGTTACTTGAACCCTAGTCAGTCAAGCCATACTTTCATAGATGGCTCAGTATAATATTCAGTGAAATGATAAATTTATTACATATTTTAATCTGACCATTTGTCAATTTTTTCAACTTACTTTTACTTTTGCCAATAGCATGTTTATCAGCTAGAAAGCTTTCAGTAAAACTGTTGTTAAATCTATACTAACCAAACAAAATGCTACATGTAACATACTGATAAAATCGTAAACGTGAGTACATATTATGGTACACAATTGTAAGTAGTCTGAATAATTGGCAACTAGTCATATCTATTTTGGATTGTTTGCTAAGGCGATGAATGTATTTTCAATATCAAGATGGTATTTTGATCTCAGATGATATAGTCCTTCTAGGCGAGGACGCTTACAAAATGCAGAGTCTTCTGAACACCTTGAGCTGCAATCTACGTATGTTTGGCATGCGATTCGCCCCTGTAAAATGTAAGGTGATGTTACAGGATTGGACTACACAGACTCCTAGATTAGAAATAGGAAGTGAAGTGGTAGAGCACGTTGACCGCTTCACTTACTTGGGAAGTACCATCAGCCCCAACGGGTTGATCTTCGACGAAATCTCAGCACGAATACAGAGGGCTAGTTTCGCATATGTCAGTTTACGCCGTCTCTGGCGTAGACGTGACATCCGGCTATCGACCAAAGGGCGGGTGTACTGCTCAGCAGTCTGCTCCGTCCTCCTTTATGGCTGGCTGTGAGACCTGGCCATTGAGAGTGGAAGACATGAAAAGACTGGCTGTCTTTGATCATAGGTGCCTGCGTTCTATCTCCCGTGTGAAATGGTATAATAAGGTGAGCAATATTGAGGTTAGGCGTCGAGTGCTAGGTAAGGAGGGGAAACCAATCGACGAGGCTGTGAAGCTACATCGACTGAGATGGTTAGGACATGTGTTACGTATGCCCAGCCTAGTCATCGCCTTCCTCGACGGGCAATGTTAGCTGACATAGGGTCAGGCTGGAAAAGAGCTAGCGGCGGTCAAACGAAAACATGGCACCAGTCAATGAAATCTACAACAGTTAGTTTAAGCCAGCCACGTAGGAAGGTGTAGACTTCCTGGTTGGGGTCTTCGGGACGGTAAAAACCAATGGCTGGAAACAATTGGTGACATGGCTCAAAATCGTTCTCGATGGCTGGTGCAGATGCATCCACTCCTTGTGACTTATGATTTCCAATGAAACTGGTTTGTTCTTCGTTATTACTATTCCTTTGTCTCACACCTCTGTTTACTGTCTATATTATGCATTTCTTCTCTTGCTTTGTGTGCTACATGGAGTGCGGCGACTTGAACTGCCGCACATCGGTGCAAAGTTCTATATCGAAAACAGACAGACAGATTTTGATCTCTATTATAACTGAGAACACTCTAGATTTCGGTACATGGTAAGTTAGTCTACTTTAACATTGTGAGGAATACTTTGTATGTAAGAGTTTATTTCTGACATTTGAATTAGTGTGTATGTGTTTGTCAGCCTGGCTTTTTACTAAAGCGGTTATAATTTTAGAGATTTTCATGTTCGATCATTTTTAGTAGCCTTATTCATATTAATGTACTCTCTTTTCTCATGATAAGAAGCATTATCATGGTCATTATTGAAGTCTGAAGTAACCGTATCTGTTTCATCCCAAATGAACTGCCTTGTAATAAATAATCTTTACTTCTCTGTATAGTGATATATTACCAACGACAACATTGTCGTGTTAACACGGGCGGGACCTTGGAGATAAGTCAATCATTACAGTTTGTCACATTATGGAATAGTCTAAAGTCTAAGCAGTTCGCTTGATCCAGTATTCTCGGGATTTTTGTAACTGCTTGTACGGCAGTAACTGCTGATTATTGGATGGATCTCTTCATAAAACTTCAGTGTTCCTGTTACTTTAAGAGTTTTAAAAGTTGTTATTATTTTTCATCATTTTCTACCGTGCACACACATATGTCACTCTGTGTGTTGATGAAAAATACTGTTCGTCGTTTGATTTCATTGGATTCTCTTAAGTTTATATAGCCATCGTACAAATGCAATACACGTAGGCTGTTGTTCGTGTTGTAAACACAAAATTGAGAACAAAATAATGTAGATTTCATGCACACATATCCTATCAAAAACTAGGTATAGGTTTTAAGAAAGAGGGATTTATGACTTTGAATATGTAAGATGAATGTAAATACGATAAAAGGTGTTTGAGAAGTTGTGTACATTCAAGTGATGCTTGTGTGAAGTAACTGGTTGTAGTGAAACAGTCGTGGTGAGAATATATGGTGACACAATGATAATGTAACAGAGTTACGTTGAAGAAAATACAAATACTTAAGGAAGGGTGATTATTTTTCAGAGAAAAGTTAGAGGTGAAGCACAAGTTGCATTCAGTTGATGGTCAGGTCATGTCTTAAGCATATGGAGGTGTATTTGAAGTCTTTCTGTTGATTATGATGTTCTGTCTGACATTCTGACGGTGTATCGCGCTTTTGAAGAAAACATAACCCTTTAGTCCCCATGATCAATGTTCAAGAGTGACAGCAGTTATCTATCTCTTCGATTTTTTTGATGTACTTACGTGATATATATATCTTCAAAGAGTATAACCTTTACTGCTGTGTTCTCATTGAACCTCCTTTAGCTGACTGATCATGAATTGAGCTCAGATAATGATAGCTGCGTATACTTCTACAGTCAATGCTTTTGTCTGTTGTAACATTATTTCGTCCCATGCAAAGGATTAAGAAAGTTCAATCGATTCTTTCTGCAATTCATCGTTAATTTGTTTGTGGGCGGTTAAGGTAGAAGGTTCACCGAATGTAGATGGTTATCAGTGAGAGGAAGTGTTTATTTGTCATTTGCGTCTACGCTACGACGCGTATTATTGTCCATTTAGTTAATTATTAAACGTACCACTAAATAATCAATCACGACATATGCATATTTCACTATCTTCTCAGGATCGAATACATCTAAAGTGCTAGTGTAACTGTCAAGTACAGAAGTCAATCAAAATATTTCACTGATACCCTTCTATGTAAAACACACACAAAAAAAATCCTTGTAGAAGGAATCATGTAATAAGGCGATTTTTACTTGAAACAAAAAGTTGATTCCTTTTTTTTCACATTTGTCACGTTTTTGATTTAATTACATAGTTTTTCCCTTGTTCTCTCATCAATCTCACAAGTTGGCTTTCTATGTCATCAAATACTCTGTATGAACACAGAGGAATAACTTCAGTAAACTAGTACGCTTCACAGGTATGCTTGAAACTACCAAACGCTAAAAGCTGCAGCGTTGTGATAAGAATCATAAAAATAGAAGAAGGAAGTAAAACAATTAAAGTATTACCTCAACTGAGGTCAACAACCATTAATCCAGGCTACTTCAATGGCTCTAGCCTGAAAAGCTTACATTACAAATTTCTATAAGAATAAAACTTGTGCACTGTGGTAGGGTGTAATTCCTTTATGGGTAAATTTTGTTTTGATAAAGTTTCACAGTGTTATACAGTAATGTTTACGGATGATGTTTCGAGCACAATTTATTGCTCATAATCATATCAAGGTAATCATACGACTTCCTGAATTCATTTATATAGTTTCCATTGTTTTTCACTTGATTTGATTGGTAGTAATATTTTCCATATTTCGGGTATGAGTGATGATTCATTCCTATTGCATGTGTTGGGTGTAGATTCGATGAACAAAGATTCAGTAATCAACCTCTCTCTCCACCTACCTAGATTACTTTTTAGAATTTTAACCCTCTCCCACCCTAGTTGTTTTGTGTTAATGCATGCATTGCAATTGCCGAGCTTTTTTCTAAATTACTTATCTTCTCTGGGTCAACCATTCTTACCTTAGCTAAATTCTTATGTTCTGACAATCTGACTACCCGTGACCTACTAGTTTGACCTATGTAGTTGACCTCACAGTCATTGCAGGGTATTTTGTAAATTATATTATTTTGTCTAATTGGGTCAACTGGGTCCTTTAACCTACAGAGCTTGTCCCTGAGTGAGTTTGTAGGTTTAAATGCCACTCTAATTTCTGCTTTACTAAGA